TGTATCTACATTCCGTCTCAGACTATTTGTCAAAGGAAAGTTGTTTTTGCCCTCCTGGCAATCATAAAACCCAAAGAAATGTAATAGTTTCATAAATAGTTATTTCAAATTTATAATTATGTATTCATAATACATGACTCTTCCATGAAACAAAAATTTGTGAATACTTCTGTTTCTGTTCTTCAGTTGCCAAGCTTAGCTTCCTCCTTGTTCGTTAATTTTTAAATTTTTTATAGCCAAAGAAGTATCGTAGTGCTAAATATTGCTAAATATTTTTCGGACCTCCTATTCTGCAATGTCGTTCGATTTCCTTGTTTTATACTTTATGACTTGGCTTTTATAACTAAATCATTGATTTTGTGAATTTTTAACATGGTAAGAAAGAATGATAATATCTTTTGAAACAGATAGAAGAGATAACATTTATAAAATAAAATCGAAGCGATTTTACGTTCAGTAGTTTGGATTCGTTCCTACCCTTTTTTACAAATTTATCAAAGTGATTAATGAAATTGTCATAACATCAAGCCTGAAAGTTTAGGCAGCTTAAACTTGTGGGCAAATCCGTCCATTACAGTTGGAAGGTGGAGCTTAGAGCTGAAAAGGTGTAGCTAGAAATTAATGGCCTGTGCTTCTTGAAAATGCAAATTTTAATACCACAGAAATTTAATCTGCATTTTTGATTAAAAATCTAAAAATCCCTTTTTTTTCCTTCTAAATTAGCATTATATAAAAATTTAGGCTTCTTACTTTTTACCTTTTAAGTAATACCTTACTCAGGAGGTGTGTTCAATAAAATCATCTCAAAAAGGAGTGTCCGTTTCCAACAATCTTTGGAGAATTTCCAAACTGCAAGTAATGTAATTTCCTGGATATCTCACTGAAAAATACTTATAAAATTTCTGTTTAGTTTCGTTCGAATCCTCAGGCGTGCCAACAAATTATGACCTACTACCTTTCAACCATTTTCCCACTATTGATGCCTACATTCTTTGTATTGCTTGATCATAATCGTACATGTGAATGCAACACATTATACATCTTTACGAAGTGAAGTGGTAAATTACATTAAATGCAATAATAATTTTACTCATAATGCAAAAGGGAAATTATTAATCATCAATGAGTGCTCCTCAGAAATGAATCAACAAATTACATATGTATTTTTCACATCAAAATTAATTATACATACATTTTTTGAGATTGTAAATGAAGTCAGGTAAAGAATATTATAAAAATATTAAAACTGAATATTTCTCGATCATGAAATGATACAAAGAAAAGATCTCTCAAGAAAATATATAATATTTGGATGATTACCATCTATGAAAATAAGCATTCATTTGTGACAACTTTTGAAAACTGATAATTTCCGACTAGACTTTAAGGAAGGAAACTGAATGAAGCCGTCACGGGTTTCACAATGGAACACTTGAAAAATTTATTCTTTCCAGTCACGTTAAGCCCTTCAGTTTGAGGTCATTGTTTTTACGTCGATTTTTCGGGACCAGGATTTGATTCCTAAAGAGAGATTTAGAAATTTTTCCCTACCAGTTTTTCTTTATGATAATCTGATATAACTAATAATAATAATATAAAATACAAAAAAATTATAAAACCTAAAAACTTATAAAAATATTATGATACTTAAGTTTTTTATTTCTCATCTCTATCCTTAAACTTTCTCGAGCCAGTGGCTCCCTCTAGTGTGCATCAAGTAAATCACTTATGCCAAATTTTTCCTATTTCTGCTCGCTTTTAGTAATCCTGATGTGGAGGTAAATGGTTTTGAACCATAGGCACTCCGAAATTTTCAAATCATTGGCATTCAGAACATTATTAACTTAAACATGGATTTTTATGTTATAAACGTATAAAACTGCATTGCATTTTTATGGCAAAGCGGTGAGATTCGAGTATGTTGTACGTGTTTTTTTTACCCCTTAAGTGCCGCGGTCGTATGTATACGCCTTGCAGAACCGATGTGCTAACTGCCACGGGCGTATATATACGTTCTTCGGATGTACTATCATTTGCTTCGTGCCGCTTCCAGTAAAATTATTCGCAAAACCACAATGATAGAGTATGCGAAGGAGGATTCCGAGAAGCATGGAGGTAGGACCCTCTTACCTCCAGATGTAGAGAAGAGGAGGGGAACTAGAGAGTGGGATAATTCTGAAACGGCGAAAGTAGTGACTGCGCAGTTATTGGCTAGTGTTTCTGTTTGAGTAAAACGTCATTTTTTTTAAAATTTGTATCTTCCGGTTCCGTTTACTGTTTGTAGTTGTTGGTTTTTACGAATATATCTGACATTTATGACTAGTTACTGCGCATTTATTGCTTGTGTTTCTGTTTATGTAAAACGTATTTTTTTTTTTTTTTAATTCTGTGTCTTCCTTTTTCATTTATTGTTTGTAGTAGGTGCTTTTTTACGAATGTGATGATATTTACGATCGTGATGATAATGAAATAGATGATTACTTTCCGTATCGTATTTTCAGGCTCGCACACCTGAGAATATGATATGCCAGATGAGGAGGATTGCGACTGCTCGACGTTGGAAAGATGAACGACGTTGGGTACGACTTGCTATGAAAAACTTACCTATGACATCCAAGCAATTCAGAAGAAATATATGTTTTTTTAGGTATACTGATTTTACAAATTATAAACCTGATATTACACTTTACTGGTCTAAAAATAAATTGATTGAAATTCCATTTTGGGGATTTTTTATTATTATACAAACATCATTTTTATTATACATTACAGCTTTTTTTTATTATAATTTTACTCTAAACATTAAATTTTGCCTTTTCATTTTTTCTTTTATTCTTTACTAGCCGCTACGCAATCATCCTTCGTCTGGCTTTTAAACGTACCGTAAAAATGCCTAAAGAGGACACCAAACATTAAATTTAAAACCTCACAGAATTTTACTCTGCAAAACAACTTTATCCAAAAACATTAATTCAATGAAAATGTATCATATATTAAAAAAATTGTAATGAAATAAGCAATATTCCTTAATACAAACATTAATTATTTTAATAAATAAATTAACCAATTTCCCGTTGCAAAATCTTAAGAGTTCAATGGTATAAAGGAAGTTAAGAACTTTGTTTCCTAAAACTATCTTTCAAACTTTTTATATAATTAAATTAATCTATAATTAAAAATGATGTAAAAGAATTGCAACTAACAAGCAATAAATCTCAGGTTTTCAGAGAAAACGCAAAGTCCAGTATCCGAAGCAATGATGAAAACTGTTGCCAAAACCACATTTCTAAAAGAATGAAACTATCATCAGAAAGCATTAACCAATCGAAAGTGTGCTTTGTGGATGACATAACTCAAAATATACAAACCTCTTTCCCATTCGCTAGTAAAGAGAGATAGACAGAACAAAAAAGAAATTCTTTCTGTTATGCCTCGAGAGACACATGCGCGTCAGAATAAGAAGATTGCGACGTGTGTGTTGCGCGTCCAAAAATCGAAAGAAAATAAGCAGCATGAAATGAGCAATATCCTTTAATACAAATATTAATTATCCCAATAAATAAATTAACCAACTTCCCGTTGAAAAAAAATCATGCTAAATTTTTCAGTATCTTAAAAAGAGTGAAATATGTAATAAGTATTTTATCTCACATTTTCAACAGCCAGCAGTCCATTTTATACAGAGCATTGAATGAAAAACTGTTGTCGAAACCACATTTCTAAAAGACTGAAACTATTCAAAATGAGGGGATTTCATCAAAAAAGATAAAAGTAAAAAAATCTGAATCGAATTTTGAAAAAAATTCGCTTTGAGGTGCACTGGCTCTTGTCTAGATGCACCTATGTACTCTTGTCTAGATGTACCACATTTCGTAGTCCTGGGTCTATTAGCTTACTCGCAACACGGGCGACAGACACATACACACACACATACAGACAAACTTTTTCTTTTATTATAATATAGAGATTTTTATGAAAGTAAGCAGCTTTTAGACAACAAAACTTGCATTTATTTTACCCTTAATACATGGCATAGCTACACGCCGCCTGTGTAAAAGACGGTGGCACTATGGAGTGAATATTGTACGTTTACCGCGGCAGTTAAGGAGTTAATTTGTATTGCTTGGTTTCGCAGCTTCGTGTTCTTCCGCTTCGTTTTCACCACAAAATGTTTTACATGATCTTAAACGCAGTATAACCACAAATTTGATATAAAATCTGTATGTTGTCAATTCACCGCATAATGTCTGATTCTGGGAATTTCTCAGAAAACTCTATGATATTTATGTAGGGATTTTTTTTCATGAACGTATGCATTAACCAGTAGGATTTCTTCAAATGAAAATAAATTAGCAATTTTTACAAAGAACCTGGAAGTCATTTGGTTTGACGAAAAATAAGTTTAAGTCTGAAATAAAACCAATTACATTTCATTCAGGAATGTTCTTGAAGACTCAGGAATCTTTTGCCAACTATGAAACTGTTAAATAACAGTATAGGCGTTTTTATTTATTTTCCTCAAACATAAAAATCCTATTTTAAATGGAATTTACGAAATTTCTATTCTTTGATAATTTAGATACTTTAATTTGCAGCCCCTGCCAAACCATTTTTCAAAGGTTTTAGGTAATTCGAAGAAAGCGTTATTCAAATTTGCTAGATTAGTATTGCAAATAGAGACAGAAACGCATGTAAAGAATCAAAACGTATTTCTATTCAGTGTCTTCTTCAAACGTTGATCCAGTGGAGGCATTGTTCCGTACTGTAGAAAATAGTAACATCTTATTTTGAAAGCATTTAATACGCTGAAGAAGCATTCCTCTTTTATTTATTTATTTACTTATTGAAAATTTATCAAAACTTGTGACCACACTCTTTAAATACACATGTGTAAAAATAAGTTCTTGCAAAAAACGACAGTTTACTTATTAATGGTTAGTTGATGTTACTAATTTGAAGATTTTAGTCATACATAAACAAAAAAAAAAAAAAAAAAAATTAACAAAAATACTGTAGGATTGAGCAGAAAGTTCCATGCTTTACATTAATAATAAATGCTAATCGAAAAGAAAGATTTAATTCATCTAAGTGGTGTTTTGTCTTGTTTAGTCAAAAACGCTACATGAATTATCAATGTATTGAGGTTTTAGGTGACTTAAATTCGTGCAACAAAATGATATGCACTGCAATACATTAACAGCTTCCTTGGGATATTTATTTGAGATCTGGAGTCATTGTTGGTACGAGAAGAGCGGTGAGAAACATCAGGATTCGTTCCAATATTGATCTCTGTTAGTTAAGATCTTTCTCTTTCTTCGTGGATGCAAAATACACCGATGAGAAAGCACCCAATTTTGCATCCGCCCATATGATGATGAGGTGGTATATATCTGCCCATATGGTGATATTCCTGGTGATGAGATAGTTGAATGTCTTTTAAATTTGGCCTTTTCAGAAGAATGCGTAACTGTCAATGTGTACGACTATTGGGAAATAATTTTAAAAGTTTTTGATTTCTTTCCTTAACAGCTGGAGAGCAAGTGTGCCATGACACTTGAATTACCTCATTTCATATCCTGTTATGTTATACTGACACTTGAATTGCGTTCCACCCTACGCTTTGAAACTTTCTATCTGATGCAACTGTTATATCTGTGCAACGTCAGATTTCATCTAATGGGACTTCGACCTCGAGGTAAGTATTGTTTGATGTTCCCTCAAATACGCTTCTGATCAGGAAACAATACTGTTAAATTCATTTATTAGTTTGATACGGATGTTCAATGATTTGATGCATGACATTTGACACGCTAAACTGTGCGACGTGTATGTTCTTTAAGAGTACATAGATGAACTTTTTTATATAGCATCATTTTCAGTCCTGTTTCCACTCTTGCAGATCCTTCAAGTAAGACTTAGTTTTTGACCTACAGGGAAGAAATTTACTTGCTAGACTTGTCTTTTCTGAAGCATTGTATTACAATTTCAATAATCTGCAATAATAAAGAGATCCTCAGAATAGAAAAGGAGTTTTCAGGTAACAGGTTTAAAATGTACGGCCTAATGAATGTTGAGCTTTTGATGAAGTTCCTGTGCATATCATCCTTTGACAACAAACACTTAAGTAAGTAAAACTTCTTATTCGGTATATTAAAGTATATATTCTGTACTTAACTTATTATATGTTATACGCGAAAATATGCATTTTAATAAATAAAAGCAGTTAATTTTGATATAAAAATGTGCATGCAGTTACTTTAAAATACTGTTTAGGTTATTAATAAACCGGCAGTACTGACCAATGTATAGAATAACTGATTCTGAAGTATACGTATTGATGACATTTAAGAATATGGTAAAGTTATGTGGAAACTATGGCATAATTAAGGAAGTTTAATTTTCGGCACAAAAGTTTCGACTCATAATTAAATTTTGCAAATGGTGCGTATGTCATAATGTAGTTAGTTGAAGCTAAACGTAAGCTCGTACTCGATATTCTGTTTTCATGTGAACATTTTTAACATTTAGACATATAAACTCTCCTGTCAGTAAAACAGTAGATAATCTAACACTTCTTTGTTCATATCTGGAAGATAGGATGTGAAATGTAATCTAAGTGGAGAGACAACGGTGAAAATTAAAGCAATTGAATAATCTCATGGTGAATTATTGAATTTTTGCAGATTAGTTTGAGTCAGGCAAAATATAATTTAAAATTAAATTCAATTTTTGAAGACGTTCTGTGGATCTGTGAGAATCCCTTTCTTTCAGAGCGCTTATATACAATGCTAGTCTAAAATAATTTTCAATGCTCAATGAGTCATTTTCAATGCTTTGTAGAAACAAGAGCTTTAATAGCAGGCTTGAAATAATAACGCAAATACACCCCCCCGGAACGACCTTTCAATCTGGTTCACTTTTCGATAAGCTTAGTTTATACTTTATCAGAGAACTTCCAAAGGTATGAAAATCAAATATAACGAACTATATATGAATATCTTGAACTGACACATTTTTATATTTTTTCCAGAATTTCTGCAAATGTTAACGAAACAAATTACCAACCCTTAAAATCATCCACACTTAGGATGCCAGGATCCAGAGTCAACATTCCATCCATATAGGAAAACGCATTTAAATTGCTTTTTCTATTCTCAATTAAGACTGGAAACAGGTATGCAGCCCATTCTAGGAGAACTATAAGACACAATAAGCGGATTTTATGACACTAAAAATCTTTTTTTTATATTGTCTATATATAGACTAGTTTTATATATAATCTTTTTTCTATATTTGTGACTATTAAACCAAAGAACTTAAATAGGTTGGTACTAAGATGTTCGAGGCTGGTACTAGGATGGAAGTTTTTAAATTTTCGCTTCTCAGAAAAGAAGTAGCGAATACTATGTGCTTAGTTTGTATAGTTAAATTACCTTTTAAGGAATGGAAACTTTTCAGCCTTAATTATTTTTAAGTAAAACTGTCATTCAAGTTCTGTTTTCTGGACTGGAGTTTGCATTATCTGGGCCTTTTGAGAAATATAGGATATTCTTTACAAAAGTGATTGAGTTTTCTCCTGGAAGCATACATATCTTAACTGAAAGTTTGAATTCGACAACATTTTTTATTATTCCTTTTTGCAAAACGAAAAAACGCTGTTTGGATATTTATGTGAAATAATGAATGATATATCACTCTAAATTCGGAAGAGGAGTATCCGACTCCAAAGGAGTGATATCCCCTCCCTCTAATGCCAAAATGGCACCAACCTCGAAAGAGCGACTTTTCGCTCTAGTAAAAAGCGGTCCCTTCTCACACAAAAAAAAGAGTGACCCTTTCTTCGCTCGCTCTTTTCGATAGCGAGATATCGCCCGATATTCGGGTGAAACCACAGACATTACAAGGAGTTATAATACTCTGCTCACTCCTTGATGGTGCGTTTTTTATATACTTATTTTATTTGCAAACTGAAAATTGGTATTTGCTGTATGTAAAGTTTATGGCTGAGGTAAAGTTTTAGATTTCTGGTTAATATTATCTCTTGAAAAAATGTTTTACGCTACGTTTTAACATGCTATTGTGATTTTAAATAAATGACATATACATCTGTTTATATTTGCTACCTATGTACTTACAAAAACATTTATTGGTGATGAAGAAGATTATGAATTAAATTAGACCATCACTGAAATAAAAAGCACAGTTTAAAGACAATCATATCTTCATTGTTTGGACATATAGTTTTTCTTTCCAAATCTAATGAAATATATATTTCAAAAAATTACATCCACATTAAAATATTGGAAATTCGGTGTCATGATACAATATTTAACATTCTGAAGTGCTTAACACTATCACTATCTCACAGTACTTCTGATATGAAATTACTTTTAATACATAGAGTATATTTTATTTTACAGAAACATGGTTTTTGCTTTTATCTATGTGTAGTAAGTAATAAAAATAAGGAAATCAATGCAACTTATACATAAAAATTGGAACAGCAAGAAAGTCGGACTGAAAACTTGGTTTTTGAATAAAAAATAATAAGGTCTCAGGTACTTAAAACTTTAAATAAATATTTCACAAATTTTCAAGATTTGATTTGAGAAATCAAAAATGCTTATTTTATAAGGTATTTCTCCCGCCTTCTTGGCATGCCTTCGTGGTGTGGTGGTCTGCACGCTGGGCGCGTATTCCAGGGGTCCGCGGTTCGATTCTCGGCAAAGGCGGTTGCGTAATTTTCATCTTGCCTGCTTCCAAAAAATACCTAATATGTCTACACGTTCCATAAGAGAAATTTTAAAATCATATATTGATACACATTCTGAGTTTTGTATACATATGTTAATTAAAAAAAATGTGATTATTCATAGCTTTCATTCACAAGATTAAAACATGCGATTATGTGAGCTAAGTTTTCCATTAAATAATCATAATAGTCGAAAATTAAATTATTAAAAATATTTCTTGAAAAATTTTATAATCATGAAAATTTGAATGTGTTAAAACAGCTGATCATATATATACGCCTCAGTAAACCTGTATTATAATCTGCTAGATTTAATTTCTTAAAATGCTACTTATAAATGAATATTTTAATACAATTTGTGAATTGATGTTACTGGTAGTTTGTCTACTTGAGCATAATATGCATAAAAAATCGAATAATAAATTTTAATATACTTCGAAATAGGAAAAAAATGTGAATTTACTTTCTCTTACATGAAAATTATTCAGCTTTATTTGCAATGCATTAGATTCAGAAAATAAGTAACCATAAAATACTCTCATGCTATTGTTTTTAACTTCATATATTGCACAAAATGTTGAGAAAGAAATGTTTCTATTTCTTATTACAAAATTATAAAAAGCTTAAAATTTATTAACCTATTACTCCAAATTACGAATAAAGCTTAAAATTTTCAGTTAGCTTATAACAGCTTTTACTTTAGCTTCAGTTAGCTTTTTACTTTTGAGAAGTTATATGCGTATAAATTCCTGTACATTAATCATTACAGGTGAATAAATGTTTACATGTATTTTTAAACTATAAGTTATTTTTATATATGCTAATTCTAATTCCAAGTCTCATATGCAAAAAATAAAGTAAATTTTAACGTTAAATAATATGGATTAGCTCACATATGTAAGATAAAAATTCATTTTTCATAATTTCTGCCTGAAAATTCTTATGTATTTTATTGAATAAATTTAAGTAGAAATCATTAGCATAACTGCAGAATTATAATAATTTCCATGAACAAAGTAATTTAAATATAAATGAAAACAAGCAATGCATGAAAACTTTTTATTACGAACTATGTACGTACATATATAAAGAACATATGACACTAAAAGTATGGCAATAAATGACATGACTAAATGACAGACATTAAAATCAAAAATTTTAAAAAAATCTATTAAAAGTACTATAGTGAAAATGATAATACTTCACCAGAGAATTCAGTAAAGTATACGATTTTTATTTCTTGCTGACATGCTGCAATTCTACCAAACAATTTGTTTGATTACTTGTGTTATAAAAAATCAAAAATATAGTATAGATTTCTTTTTCACCTCTGTTCTGTTTATTTGAATTAAAAATAGATGCAAAACTGAATTTAAATAATTAAAATCGATAGTTTTGTGTAAATTGTAGAAAAATAAAAATAATTTTAAGACGTGTTTACAAAAAGTACCATCCATGCATATAGCTTTTATCGTGTTAGCAGTGTGTAATAAATAAAACTACGTTACAGCATTACACTCTAAAGCAAATTTACAGATACCTTAACCCTTTGCGGCGCACTATACGTTAACGTCGGAATTTCAGTTGTATGCAGTCTATTTAGTCCTAAAGGAGTGTACAGGTAAAAGTTTGTAAAATTGCATTACGTTTTAATTTTGTGGTGTTCCATGAGTGGAAACTGCGCCGCCAGAGCTTTTAAAAGTGCGACTAAGCGAGTATTGCAGTGAAGCACGAAAATGAGTAGAAGCGTTTGTTAATAAGAATGGAAAAACTCTGTATTATGGCTGTATACATGGTTTCCTGGATATACACAATATTCTTGAATATATACGGATAAATGAGATAAATATCTATATACACAAATCCTATATTCAAAAATATTTACAAATTTTCGGAAAGAGCGCTTCGGAAAGAGTTTGACCTCTCCGCGCCATTTATGAAAAATTAATAATAAAAAATTAACTACGAATAATACTAACAATAAAGAAAAATAAACCTATAATATATACATACACGAAAAATATCTACACAATTATTGAAACTAAACGGGAACGAGACCAAAATGCGACAGCAAAAAATTCGCGCAGGTCTAAGTAAAGATGAGTCAAGCTACTAATAAAATTCCCGCCTAAAAAACTAGTCCCAAAAAATTCGAGATGCCAATATTAGGGCTTTCATAAAACAAAACACACCTCACCCCTCAATACTGCTTTGTTTGAATTCATTCCTTTCCCAAAGCAACGGAAACAGAAAACGTAAACAACGGATGTTCTCTCCTAAGCACAGATGTTCTGATTCGTAACAGCATGAGATCGCTAAAGGCGCAGTGGTCCCGCTAATGGAACACCCGGGTTTATTCAATGATTCTGCGC